AGCTGCAGGACTTCGGGGCTGCTGCAGTCTTGTCTGTCTTTGTGTGTGTTTGTGTCTTTTGTTCATTTCGCAGACCCTCACTGCAACAGATCAGATGGATTTAATTAATATTTTTAGAGCATTTCACTCCAAAGCAGCAGAATATACATTTTTAAAGTGCAAATGGCGTATTTTCCAGGACAAACCACATGTTAGAACACAAAGCAAGTCTCAAAAAATTAAATAAGATGGAAAACATATCAAGCATCTTCTCCAACCACAATGGTAAGAAATTAGAAATCAAGCGCAAGAAAAAAACTGAAAATCTCACAACACATGGAAGTTACATAACATGTTGAGACGACTGAAAATGCAAACACAATGATCAAAACTCTATAGACACAGCAAAAGCAGTCCTTAGAGGGAAATTCATAGCATTACATGCTTACCTCAAGAAACAGGAAAAATCTCAAATAAATAATCTTACCTTACACCAAAAAAAAACAAAAACAAACAAACAAACAAAAACAATAAACAAAGCCCAAAGTGAATAGAAAGAAAGAAAGAATAAAGATAAGAGCAGAAATAAACAAAACAGAGTCTAAAAATATATGCATCCCTTCATTGCAGCAGTATTCACAATGGCCATGATGTGGAAATAACCTGTGTCTATCTACAGATGAGTGGATAAAAATGTTCTATATACATAGAACAGAATATTATTCAGCCATAAGAAGGAAATCCTGCCATTTGTGACAACACAGATGAACCTTGCAGGCATTATGCTAAGTAAAATAAGTCAGAGAGAGACAAATATTGAATGATACTACTTTTGTTTGTAGAATCTAAAAAAATAGAATTAATAGAAAGAGAACAGATTTGTGGTTGCCAGGAGGTGTGGGGTATGAGAAATGGGGCAATGTTTGTCAAAACATACAAACTTTCAGTTATAAAATGAATGTTTGGGGCATATAATTATATCATGGTGATTATTATCAACACTATATTATATACTTAAAGTTGCTAAAAGAGTACCTCTTAAATATCTCACCACAAAAGAGAAATGGTAATTCTGTGAGGTGATGGAGGTGTTAGCTAATGTTATGGTGGTAATTATTTTGCGATATATATTTGTATCAAATACATTGTACATATTAATTTGTATCAAATACATTGTACAAATTGTTATATGTCTATTATATCTCAATAAATCTTTTTTAAAAAACTTTTAAATAAAAAAAGAGTACGATGAAGTACATATGTTATACAAAGAAGAAATGTGAATGATGGACTGAGTACCAGACGGGGGCATTCTCCTGGTTTACACTACCCCAGCACAACGGCCTCCCTTTTCTCCTCCTGCCACGACAGACACCCTCCTACCTCTTGCTCCTAGCATTAGCTGTTCCTTCTGCCTTTGACCCCTCTTGAAATCCTCTTGGTTTGTTCCCTTATCTTTTCAAGACTCTGCTCAAACGTTACTATCTGTTAGGTTATTTAAAAGTCCAAGTCCTGCCCATTTCCAGTCCATCCCACTGCTATGCTTCATTTTCCTCAAAGAAAAAACACATATAATTCATGTATTCATTTGCTGATTGTATTTATTTTCTGTTGCTCCTCACCCCTGATTGAATTGTTCTAGGTAAACAGGATTTTTTTTCTATTTTGTTTGCTCTGCTCTGTCCTTAGTGTCTGTTAAGCACTCTATAAACATTGAAAAAACCTACAGCAGTCTGAGCACTTAAAATATCATTTTTCTAACGGTTATCATAAAATTGCAAATGAAATGTCTCTAAATAACATATCTGGTCATATTAATTGGTAAAGAATTGTTTCTCTTTCTTCAAAATAAAAACAGGAAATCTAATTGTACATCTTTTTATTGTAACTACTAAAACAAACTATTCCTATTTAATTATTCCCTAGAAACCTTTGGCAATGCCTGGTTAGTAGAAGCACAAGAGAAGAGAAGAGCCTAGTTGTGTACATGCATTATTCCTCAAGGAATAGCAGGGCTGAGATTTCATTGTAATTAAATAAAATTTTAAAACTATCTTATCTGTTGAACAATTACTTTAAAAATATCAGTGGAGAGGGTCCCGAGTCTCAAAAGGCCATAATGAGGAAATACATTTAGATGATACCTTCATCTGGTCTTTCGTCTTTACCATAAATATGAGTTTTCAATATGGGGAGAAAAATTTTTTTCATTTACTCTTTGCAACTCATGGAAGGTTACAAACTAGATCATTCAATTCTCCAGAAGTCTCTCACATGCTTTTCACTCTGTTGGGTAACATTTTATTTCCTGTCTCTGACTTTTCTTCTCAGCACATATCCAAGGAGTAAGTTAAAACTTTGCATACCCTATTACAAAAACTGACTTTTCTGCATAAATGGATTTACTGGAAAGTGCTTTCTTCTTGCTCTGAAAATGTAAATATCTGGGTTAAGATCAAATTCAGACAGAAAAATTTGAAAATATTAGTTTTTCTCTTGTTTCTCCAAATCTTGGTTTAATACATTTATATAGCTTTCTTATCCTTTTTATTTTTTAATTAAAACTTTTTAATGTTGAGATTATTGCATATTAATGAATATTGTTTACAAAGAGGTCTGGGGATTTTGTGTGGAAATGTGTAACTGATAAATTTCTGGAGGTGGATTTATTATCAATATTATAATCAATTTTGTTACTTGTTAAATAAAAAATATGACAAATTTTTGCTGCCACTTTTATATCATACCTCTCCAACACATATATTGCTCTTAATTAAATGTAGCACTAATTTCATGTGTCTTGGTGTTATGTGAAGTAGCTCTTCCTTAAATGGCAAGACTATTCAGTATCTGTATGCTTTTTGTTTTTTACATTTACAGGATCTTCTCTGGATTGTGACTTTATACAGTTTGTACTCCCAAGAAATACTGTAACAAGAGACCAAAGCAGGGTGAGTATTGACACTATTTTGATATACAGCTGATAGGGTTCAATTATCAGTGAAAATGACTAAGAATGCTTAGAGTAGGGTACAACAAGGTATCAGAACATGGATCAGAGTGTGAAAGACAAAAATTAAATGAGTTTAAAAATCCAATCAAATGAGTTATGAAGATAACAACTAAAACCTGTGTGGCAACTAAGTGGGCTTTTTCTTCAATCAAAGCAGCAGAATAATTTGTGGGCATCCCATCAGTTAAGGTATTTTTAAAACATATCAATTGTCTCTTATATTAATATTAATATTATGCTTTTTCTCTTTGCTTCTGTATATTTTGTACTCACTATGTGTATTTAAACACAATTTATATGTTCTTAAGTTAAAGGCACTCCACTTTTCAAACCTAGCAAATGGCCAAGATTCACTAGCTCCATAGCTTGCTGTCTCTGGACAAGATGACGTTTATTCTTTTTCAGATACTTACAATAACCTCAGCTGAGAAAAATCATACAATTATTCACAATAAAAAACATCCTCGCCCTGGCCGGTTTGGCTCAGCGGTTGGAGTGTCGGCCTGCGGTCCTGATAGACCCGGGTTCGGTTCCCGCTAAGGGCACGTACTTCGGTTGCAGTTTGTCCCCGGCCCTGGTTGGTCGTGCGGGTGGCAGCCACTCGATGTGTCCCTTTCACGTCGATGTTTCTCTCTCTTTCTCTATCTCCCTCCCACTCTGTCTGAACAAAAAAGAAAATGGAAAAATGTCCTCGGGTGAGGATAAAAAAAAAAAATCCTCAATAATTTTTTAAATCTTACTCCACCATCACAACAGATCAAGGGGGAATCTATGTCTTCCAGGACAAAATACACACACACACACACACACACACACCTCCTATGAAATTCTGGTGCCTGCTCTATATTGCCACCTGATATGATGTCATTGCTACGAGAAACAAATAGACTGACTACTATGTTGCATTCAGATTTGCTACAATCTACATAGTTACAAGAGTAATGACAATACATAAACAGCAGTTCCTCCCAAACATGATAGCCAAGAGTAGGCTTCTGAGGAAACAAGATGTACAAAAGCTTTGATTGAGTAACAACAAACTGGGAGCAAGGGCAGAGCAGGAAAGAGTGAAGCAAGACGTTTCATGTTTCAAGGTTGTCTCAGAAGAAAATGCCTAGAATGGATGTAAAAATGTACCAGTGGTATATGTAAAAAAGAGAAAAAAAGACCAAACATTGAAAGCAGCTATGAAAGTAAGACAGAAATGCCATGCACACAAATTAAAAAGTTTTTCTCAACTTCACAACATTTTTTGAAACATTGGCTACCTCAAGTCACATTCAGTATTCCAGTCACTCAGAGCAGTGCTATCCCTAAACCAGATGCCCCAGTTCTCACATTCACAAGAGACTGCTTCAAAATTTTCAACCAGCAAATTTAGGTGCCAAAGTGGAGGGCTCTTCCTCATGATGTGGAGCTGAATCCAACAGCTAAATACAGAGAAAGCATGTCACGTATACCCAATATATAATATACCATCTATGCTGGACCCAGAGAGGGCCTTTGGGTTATCACTTTACAATAACATTAACAAGCACAAAAAGGAGTATTCTCTATGCCCTTTTACTGTATCTCAGTGAGACCGAACCTTTTGAAATGTCTTAAGATAAGTAGCATTTTATTTGATAGTATTATAAATATTACTAATTATAATAAATTACTTTTGTATAATGTTTTAGAGAGAAATTTAGTATACATAGATTTGAATGTACTATAATCTATATGGTAAAGAAATGAGGAAATAGACAAATAGAAGATAAGTGACATACTCAAAATTACAAGTTTAGTACTCATGTGTAATCCAGTATCCTGACCTGGTTTAATGATTGCACCAAGCCATGTTTTTACTTATTGGTATCTTATCAAAATGAATTCATACTCTTGGGAATAAGTTGTGATGATCACAGTTTTGTTGTTTTAACATAAACCTCATTGTTTATAAAAGAAATTTGGTGTTTTCAGGAAGAACCAGCATACTTCATTAAAGTACAATAACAATGTCATCTCCATGTCTTCCAGACTAATGAATGTGTCCGGCAGAGAAACCACCAACTCTGTGAGTCACTTTATCCTCTTGGGCTTTCCCTCGAGCCCAGAAATGCAGCTCCTCTATTTTGGACTCTTCTCAGTAGCCTATACCTTGACCCTGATGGGGAATGCTGCCATTGCCGGTGCCGTGTGGTGGGACCAGCACCTTCACACCCCCATGTACATCCTCTTGGGGAATTTTTCTTTCCTGGAAATATGTTACGTTACCACAACCACCCCTAACATGTTGGCCAACTTCCTCTCCACAAGCAAGTCCATCTCCTTTGTGAGTTGTTTTGCACAGTTCTACTTCTTCTTCTCTTTAGGGTGTGATGAGGGCTTCTTCCTCTGCATCATGGCTTTTGACAGGTACCTAGCCATCTGCCGTCCTCTGCATTACCCACTCATCATGACTAAACAGCTATACACCAGTCTCATCATCTTTGGATGGTCCTGTGGGTTCGTTCTCTTCCTAACCCCAGTTCTTCTCATTTCACAGTTGCCCTATTGTGGCCCAAATACCATCAATCATTTCATCTGTGATCCTGTCCCATTGATGATGCTGTCCTGTTCAGAAGACACCACAACACAGTCCATTTACTCTACTTTCAATGCTGTTTTCATGATTGGTACATTCCTCTTTATCCTCTGCTCCTATGCTCTGGTGATTCTGGCTGTGCTAAGAATGCCCTCAGCAGCAAGTAAACACAAGGCTTTCTCCACTTGTGCTTCTCATCTGGCTGTGGTGGTCCTGTTTTTTGGCTCTGTTATGGTGATGTATGTTAGTCCTGGATCTGGACACCCAGTGAAAGTGCAGAAAATTGTGAGCTTATTTTACTCTGTGATAACACCTCTCTGCAATCCTCTGATTTATAGCCTCAGGAACAAGGAGATGAAGGCTGCCCTGAGGAAAGTCTTTGGGACTGAAATTTCTGTTCATAAAACATAAATCAGAAGTAATAGTAAAGCAAGTTATATCACAACCTGATTTAATAAGATATAAGCAAGATCATTTCCTAGAGAATTCAATAATTTCGGTTAGGGAACAATAAAGCCCATTGTCATTTTAAATATCACTCACTACATAATGGGTTAGTCTTATTTAAGAAATAAAATTGTCTTAGGAAAATTAAATTCTTTATATATAACTGAGTTTTTTAAAGGAAGTATAAATAAGCTTTGTATTTAAAAATTGGAGCAACAAATAAGGATGCAGCGTAGGTTATAAACTTGTTTTGGGATCCACACTGTAAGCAAATTCTCTTCCACTGAGAGTTACTGACTAAAAGAAAGGATTTCTGTATGAAATAAGTCCAACCTTGCAAAGAATGATATATATTTTCACTCTAAGGATTTTAAGAAACAAATTAATAGCTCTAGCTGGATATTGAGTACAGTCGTCCTTCAGTATCTGAGGAGAATTGGTTCTAGGACCCATCTTTCCCACCTCCTCCCAAAATCCATGGACGTTCAAGTCCCTTATATAAAACAGTGTAGTATTTTCATATAACCTATGTATATCCTCTCATATACTTTAAATAAGCTCTAGATTACCTATATAGTCATATGCCACATAACAACATTTTAGTCAATAATGGATTGCATATATGATGGTGGTCCCATAAAACTATAATGAGCTGAAAAATACCTATTACCTAGTGTCATCATAGCTAATGCAGTGTCATAGCAAAATGCATTACTCACATGTTTTGGTGATGTAGTGTAAACAGACCTACTGCACTGCCAGTCATATAAAAGTACAGCACATGCAATTATGTACAGTACATAATACTTGATAAAGATATTAAATGACTATGCTACTGGTTTATGTACTTACTATATTGTACTTAACATTGCTTTAGGATGTACCATTTCTGCTTAGAAAAAGTTCACTGTAAACAGTAAGTTGCGTTGCGCCAGCAGCAGCCTACATCTGTTTACCATGTCTCTTGATTGAACCATTTTCTCTTGTGCTTGATTTACTCTCATGTTGTTTTGTACATGCTGTACAGGCTTGAAGCCTAGAGCAATAGGCTAGACCATATAGTATATGTATGTAATAGGTTACACTGTGTAGGTTCATGTGAGTGCACTCTATGATGTTTGCACAACAAAATTGCCTAATGACATATCTCAGAATGTATCCTGTCGTTCAGTAGTGCATATCTGAAATACCTAATACAATGTAAATGTTATGTAAATAGTTGTTATACTGTATTGTTTAGGAAATAATAAGAAAAAAAAGTCTATACACCTTCAGTACAGATGCAACCATCATAGGCCTAACTACATAATACACCTCAGCAATAATGTAACTTTTTCCTGATTATTTTCAATCTGCAGTTGATTGAATCCATAGATGTGGAACCTGTGGATACAGAGGACTGACTTCAGTAGATTAGAGCGCACCCAAAATAAAAATTAGGAATTTAATGGCTATTGTTTACCTAAAATAGGATAAAGATAGATGCTAAATGTAAAGGGTCAGGCATTAGTCAGGACCTAACTCCATTGCTGCAACTCCAGTGTTAAATGAAGGTCTTAGGACCATACTTTGTTTCAGTATTTTTGCAGTATGACATATTTTATTATTTAAAATGTCTCTAGCCTGGCCACTGTGTATCAGTTGATTGAGTGTTGTCCCATGGACTGAGAGATCCCAGTTTGATTCCTGGTCAAGGCACATGCCCGGATTTCAAGCTTAATCCCCACTAGGGGGCACGCAGGAGGCAGCTGATCAATGTTTCTCTCTCACATCGATGTTCCTCTGTCTCTCTCTCTCCCTTCCTCTCTTTCTAAAAAAAAATCAATAAATACATTTTTTAAGTGAGATCATGTGATATTTGTCTTTCTCACCGATGGACATAGACAACAAAGCTGGGACAGGTGGGGGGTGGGGGGACGAGGATGTCAATGGGGGGGAGGGAAACATATGTAACAAAAATAAATTAATAAAAAAATTTAAAAAACATATTTAAAAAATTTTTCATAAAATGTTTCTAAAGATCTTCTGTTCTTTATTATTATTTTTTTTTTTTAATCCTCACCCGAGGACATTTTTCTATTTTTTGTTCAGATAGAGCGGGAGGGAGAGAGAGGAAGAGAGAGAGAGAGAGAAACATCGATGTGAAGGGACACATCGAGTGGCTGCCACCCGCACGACCAACCAGGGCCGGGGACAAACTGCAACCGAGGTACGTGCCCTTAGCGGGAACCGAACCCGGGTCTCTCTGTACCGCAGGCCGACACTCCAACCGCTGAGCCAAACCGGCCAGGGCAAGATCTTCTATTCTTTAAAATATATAATCACAATTGTTAGTTTGAGTATACATTTTACTTTCACTATTGGCCATCTGTTTGTTTGGGATAACTCTCTAAAATGTAATGAAAGGCAATAGGGAAATAAGATGCAGTTCACAGAGCTACATTTACTGTCTTCAGGAAGTCATTAATTCCACAAAGTGAAGTGCAATGTAATTAAACGTCTTTTAGGGAAGAATCAAGGATTTGAGGTTGTTTGGACTTTAAAAAGGCGGATTTCTGGGAATTTCATGACAAAAGAGAAGTATATTCTATTTCAGAGAAGTAAAGCAAACTGAATGGACAAACAATTGCTTGGACAAATTATTTACAGGAGCAAAACTTCATCCAAAATATCTTTAATATAAGCATAAGATGCTCTTTTCCTGATTGTTTTCATTATGCTGTTCCTTGAAGCTTATGATTCATTCATTCAATAGTCATTGATTTTTTTGAGCAGATTTGGAAAAGAGATGAAAATGTATGATGATTAATAAAATATACTGTTGATTGTTTCTGACAGTGTGGTTTCTGCACCTGTAGCCAGCACTGAGATAATAATTAACTAGGCTCCTTACATCTCAGGCTTTCCATATTCCAGAGGGACCACCTCATATTTCAGGTTGCTGACACTTAATGGAATGAAATCCAACTTAAGTTGGTGAATTCAGGACTTTATAAATGAAGAATAGAGTGATAACAAAATTTGAACTTCAAATTTGTCTAATTCATTTTAGGAGATGAGCTATTTAAGGATACAAACAAAAGTCTGCCTTACTCAATAGATGATTGTTGTCGTCATAATTTCTCTCACACACTCCCCTCAACCAGACAACAGTGGAGTGACGGCCAGAGGGAAGGTGGGGTGAAGGCAGGTGGGAGAAGGGCAAAGTGAGAGAAATGGGGGTATCTGTAATAGTGTCAACAATCAAAATAGAGTAAAAAAGTTATAATTTTTTCAAATCGTATAATAAATTCTTTTTTTCTAATTCTCACCTGAGGACATTTTTGCATTTATCTTCAGATAGAGCGGGAGGGAAAGAGGGAGGAAGAGAGAGAGAGAAACATCAATGTGAGAAAGACACATCGACTGGTCACCACCCACACAACCCCAACCAGGCCTGGGGACAAACTGCAACCAAGGTACGTGCCCTTAGCAGAAGCTGAACCTGGGTCCCTCAGGTCCACAGGCCGATGCTCTAACCTCTGAGCCACACCGGTAAGGACCAAACCATATAACAAATTCTTACCCCCACACATAGAAGACAGCCTTGCAGCTTACTTAATTTATTTTAATATATGCACTACTGTTTGAGCATTTATCACCTGATAGTCACTGAGATAAATCCCTTATATAAACTATCTCCAAGTGTTCCAACATGTTTTTCTAGGAATAATCCATATGGAGCTAACAGGAAAGAAAAAAAATTAGTCTGCTCAATTTTTTTTAAGTCCTATATTTATTTATTTATTTTAATCTTTTCTTTTTCTCCCTTTGTTGATTTTAGAGAGAGAGGAAGGGAGAAAGAGAGAGAGATAGAAACATCGATGAGAGAGAACATCAATTGGTCACCTCTTGCATGCCCTCCACTGGGGATGGGGCCCACAACCTGGGCATGTGCTCTGACCAGAAATCAAACCAGCGACTTCTTGGTACATGGGTCAATGCTCAACCACTGAGCCACACTGGCCATGCTAAAGTCCTATATTTAAATAAAGCAAGTAATGAAGTACATTGTGTTCATGAAGACTTCAAAAATATAAGCATTATGATTCCCCAAAATAGATATTAGAATGGACCTTTATCCAGTTTTGACAGGATAACTTCCTTTCCCCCAAATCACCTCATGGGACTCTTATTCTACTAAATATGTTTTGAGGACAGTCACTGTATTTATTATATACAACAAACTTCTGGAGCAGGTTATTATCAATGCCATGTTAATAAATTAGAAAGCTAACAGTTTTAGTGAGATTTAGCAATTTCCCTGATGTCGCACAACTAGTAAGTTATTGTGAAACCAGAAGGTTACCGTAGCAGGTGCAATTAGTGAGCTTCTCTTTTTCTCAACAGCTATACTGAACAGTACCATATGAATTTTGACTCATACTAACAGTGTCCCCCATGAAAAGTAGCATTTATCTTTCAAATTTCTGTCTCAGAGGTTCTCAGAAGCTACCGATTCCCCCACAGCTGTTATGTAGGGGAAGCCCTGAAGTGTATGGGTCAGAACAGATGGATAAATGCGTCGAACATTTTCTTTCTGAGAGACATTTCCTCTGCATTTCAGAGACCTTAGAATCAAGTCTCCTTCTACAATGACTTTTCTTCCTCCTCCTCTTACTCTCTCTGTTACTTCTATATTTTTCTAAGGTCACCTCTCATATGTAGCATTGGCATCCAAGTCCTTGTCTCAGGCTCTTCTTTCCAGAGAGCCCATATGAACACAACTAATAATGTAAGTGGCCCTAGAAACTGAACCCTCAGTATGAGATACTGGGAAGATGGCAGCAAAGACCCCAGTGCATAAGTCAGGTGGAGATCACCCCTAGCATAGAAGAACATTGTACTTGCTAAGACATTGACCTGTGGTAAATTGGGAGCAGGCGCAGGTAGAAGGGAAAGCACTATCTATGAAATGGCTCTAGCATTTGAATGGATGGAGATAATGGTAATTATAAAAGCCTTAGAATTGGGTGATTTTT